TCCTTTGTAGTTACTGATAAATATATTTAAGTCAAAGTTTTTGTGCCTGGAGTTCTGCTTTAATTACCAAGGGAGTCCTGTGACCCATACTATAGTATGTTCATTTCCAAGGGTACCTTTCTGTGTCTGTGTGCATACATGGGTCTCTGCATACTTACATTTATTAGCTTCAATAGTTCCACACATTAAAATTAGAACTGCAGTGAAACTTCAACAGCTTTAAGCACAAGTATTAGTATCAATATAAAAAGGTATATCACATCCATGGAAAGTTTATCATGCATAATGTAGAGGATTAAATAGATGGTTAGCTAATTAGTACATGGTCCGCCCCATACATATAGACTCCTATCTTAAAAACACATCACATTGAAAAGCAGACAAGGTTTTTTTTGTTTTGTTTTTTTTTTTATACATGCCTTATACAGGGTAGCTAAAAATAAAATTTACAGATTTTTAAGAAACATTTGTTCCATGTCATGTCCAAATTTAATTAGTTAAAAAAAAGGATGTGGTCATTAGCCAGGAAATAAACCCCAAATACAATCTTATTGTAAAGTGTATCTCAAGCCGTTTTGTAGCTTTTAATAGAGTATTGAAGGATTCGAACGTCTGTCGGGTTTTTACTGTTATCCGGAGGCTCTCCCTTCCTATCCTGCTGACAAGAGCTTTACCAGAGCCTCGGAGAAGAGTAAAACTGTGACAAAAGGTTCTAACCCTTTACCACCATATCCAAGGCTATTATAAAAAGTTTTGGCTGGACATACATTTTAATTGGACCCAAGCGTAGATACTACTGATCCTATTCTTTGTGTGCCTGCAGAGCAGGGCTGACAACAACAATATAGACCCTCTGCTGCTACAATGCACCAATGGAAGCATTTGTTCCTGTGTCAGTTATGATGATGTACTGTAAAAATATGGGGAGACATGCTGTATCATTACAGGAGGTGCACAATTATTCTCGGTGCCTGAATGAGATGATCAGCTCTTTTGCAGATTGGCAGCCCTCAAACATTTATAAACTGAGGGGGGGGGAGGTATAGTTTTTTAAAAAACTTTTGTAGTTCTTCCCTGGCTCCCAGGGACTACGAGGTACATTGTTAACAGAGCAATGCTGACACCCACTGGTGCAAAGGGGGCACGACACCAATAAAGATTTAGGTTCAAAGGACATCTGCTTCAGGGAAAAGCAACAGCTCCAACTATGCTTAGTTTTCATTTGACATCAAACTGATGTAGCTTTGTCTGGGAGCGCAGTTACTCTACGTTCTGCAGCTAACTCACCAATGAGGAGCCAGTAAGATTGCCTCCATTGGTTTGTGGGAGAGTGTAGTGGCACACCACCAAGCGGAGGGGCCGCAGTTTATTGTGCATCTTAAGTTAGGTGGATTCCCCAAGCACTTAAAAGGATCTGATGGAAGTACTTGTGGGCACCTTTGAAAGATATTACTTAGGTAATTGTTAGTGAAACCCTGAAAGGTTCACTCTAAAATAGAAGGCAGCAAGTTTCAATCATATTGCCGTATCTTATACATTTTGGCCACTCCAATAGAGAAGAGCTTCTCACCTAATCAATCAACTTTTCTGGGCTGAACTTTTTAAGTCGGTTACACAATTAAAAGCCTACAATAGCTATACAATTTTTAATAGACATAAAAAAAATGGTTGCAGATGATATTATCCAGTGATCTCCATGTCCAGAACCTCTTAATGATCTTTTTTTTTTACCTTGGCAGAAAGGTATACAAGTTAATTGAATATTGACTTTGTTATCCTGGCTCAATTATTCCTTCTCTAGGGCCAAAAATCCCATCGTTATCATGATCATGCAGTCAGACACACCCCAGATACCCACAGCGGAATTGTAGATGGTGAACTGTAAAATAATGATTTTGGTAAAAATATATGTACCCATAAACATAACGTACAATCACTAAATGTCATACCGCAAGAAAGAACACCAAGCTACAGTCTGATGTGGCCCCTCTCCCCCCTAAAAAAAATCTAGGAACCATAAAACAGGAAAATTAAACTGGCATAGGATAGTATGGATTTAGAATATATACAGGGAACCGGTCAGAATGGATGTTCTGCCATAGCAAGGCCTTCCATGCAGGGCTGAACTCCTGGGAGGTGCAACTAGGGTCGGCCAATGGCAGCTTCCAGCAGTGGCTGGGAACCCCAGATGTGCAAGGTAACAGCCAACTTTAAAATGAGAGAGAAAGCCATTTTCTACAATAAAAAAAAAAAAAGTATTTTTGAAGAATAAAAATTGAGAATATTAGGCAGGTCCCCTAAGCGGTGAGTAAGAATGGCCGGGACCCACCGCAATCTGACTTGGCAGGGTTCCCACTGATTGCTTGTTCTTTACTAAGATCATTAGGATAGAAAACATTCTAATATGTGTCCAATTTAGACATTAAAGCAGAATTGCAGGCAAATCATTTTATTACATTGTGCTGGGTAACAAATAGTTATTCACCCATCAGGTGTATGTCACCTCCGGGATTGCTAACCTTTCTTTGCTACTAACACTTTCATTCATGCCTCTCTCTATAAATCCAGCACTGTTGCTCCCCTACACAGAAGCCATATTGTCATTTATACAACCCTACTTTCCTTGTTCACAAAATACAAGGTGCTCTGTAAACAAACAAGGGGAGAGAAGATAAAACGATACTATGGCTTCTGTGTATGAGAGCCACAGCTCCAGACATATATTGAGAGCTATACTTCCCGCCATGAACGAAAATGTGAAAAGTAAAGAATGGGCCGACGAACCTGGAGGTGGCATATACCTCATGGAAACTATTTGCTACTCAGCATGTTTTAACCCCTTCGTGACTGATGACGTACAGTGTACGTCGCCAGCATTGGGGCTGTTTAAACAGACTCCCGGTGACTTTTGCCGCCGGGACTCTGTTTAAACTTGTAGAGCCGACTGTCGGCTTTACAACAGAAGCGATCCTGGCGACTTACATGTCGCCAGATCGCTTCTGCGTAGCCTGAAGTTCTGTTTAAAGTGACACTAAACTCAGGAGTTAAATCTTAAAACTACATTCACGTACCTTAACAAAAATGTAGCTGCCCACAAAAAGAATTCTGTCAAAATGACTTATTTTAGGACTCTAGTTCCTCTTAAAACATCAGCCCTGCATATTTGGCTTTCCACTTGGAGTGCCCTCTTTGCCATGTCAGAACACGTATTGCCCTCAACATGTGTACACAGGGCAAAAATACACCTGCCTTTGCACAGTGCAAGGCAATGCACGTGTTCTTTATTACATGTGTTGTGGTGCTTGGAGGGTGAGGTATGAACGGCAAAGCGCTGCAACACACATACACATTGGGGTCAATTTATAAACAATTTGCAGGGCGAATATATGCCAAAATGAAAGTTCTTTTGTTTTTTTTATACAAGTGGGATACAGTTTTGGAAGTTTCAAATGATAGATCTTTATAGTGACTAGATGGAGATAAAGACGCACAGAACATAAGTATTTATTGTCTATGCTCTTCAGGGCCTTCTGATGGTCATAATGCGATATTACATGAAAAATCCAAAAATACATTCCCTTGTAAAGGAACAACTAAAGAACGTTTGTTTAGGCATATGTCCACACAGAATAAACGTTTAGATATTCACAGGGCAGGGCCAGAGTATAACCGAGAGCAGGACAGTACAAAACGGATAACTAAAAGCTGCACCACTGATATTTGGTCAAATCAGTACCATTGATTTCTCTAAAAACATAAGTTAATTAAAGTCAAAAACCTCAACAAGGTGAACAAATGTGCCAGTTGATAGATAATTCAAAACCATTTCACAGTGTATTTTGGTCCAATAGTTTCAAAATCCTTTAACACATTTGTCCTGTGATGGGTTACTGTATGGAGCCTTAACCATGCTGGAGGTCATACAGACATTATCTAGGGAGAGCACTTTTTATAGAAGGCTTTTTAGACGTGCCAAATGGGACTCTTGACATTTTGGGCTATTCTGTGAGCCCGACAGCTCATTACATCTGAGCACTCAGTGATTAGCTTTTGTAATACATCCTAAGAAGGAGAAAGTAAACTGAAGGGTCTGGACACCTGAGCCCCAATTTTTTCTACTGTGCATTCAGATGAGTCTCCATACAGGGCATCACCACACCATCTGCCCAACAAAGCATGCGTTTGAAGCTGGCCATACACTGTTAGATTTTTATATGAAGGTTCATGCAAAAAAATCATGTTGGCTCATTCAGTAATGCCATCAGAGACTTCATGACTCATTTAATTTTGGAATGGAGATTCCCAACAAATTTCATTGGAGAAAAAAAAACAAAACACTTCCATCCTGCTCCTTCGATTTTTTTCATCACTGCAGTCAAGAACGATTGTCGGTTTGACCCCTCAACAATGAGAAAAAAAAAAAAATATCCACAAATTCATTTTTCCCCAAAGAAAATTCTACGGGTGTATGGGCAGCTTTACACGGAGTGCCTATCTTTGTGTATACACAGCCTTCGATATTTCAAACACTGGTTGAAAATCTACGCTACTGAAGGTAGCTATTCTGTCCACACATTACATACAGCAAGATGTAGCAGAACACAGATTACCATGATAAACATGCTTCACTTTTATAGGGGAACCCAATACATAATTCGCATTCTAATTGCCTCATAAAATGGATTTATAAAATAGCATAATTACTCCATATATATTTTAAGAACTGGATGAAAAATACCACCCACCCATTCCCCACAAATTAAAACCACCACAATAAGCATACACAATTGCACAGATGACTATTATCTGTACTCATTTTCAAATACTAAAAGTAGAAAAACTTTGATGATTTCCCTTTGATAAAGCCTGACCTGAGCCAAAGGATTAAGCCCCACACATGCCACAGCGTTCAGAAACGCAAGCATTTGGTTTTTTTAACTGTAAGTGATGCGCTTAGGCTTCACGCAGGAAGAGGCTTCTGAATGAAAAGGCATGCAAATGCATTAAAATGCCCATGCGCTTTTAAACACAGAAGTGCAAATAGGGCCAAGGGATTGGAGGGGGCAAAGTAGACCTGTATTCTCTGTTTAGACTCAAGCTCAGATAAACCAGATGTAAGTTTGAAAAGAAAAAAAAAAAGGCATCATGCAGATACCATATTAAATATACGCTTAAAATAGCTGTATGCATAAAAATAAAAAAACACCACAGTACCCTGTGCCGAAAGACCAGAGCGTTAAATTAAAAAGATCAAAAGATGAATTCCAGACGCTGGATTCCTGCCTTGAGATAGGAGGCAGACAGGGAAGTAAAAAAAAAAAACTTCCCCAACCTCTACATCCATATTAACCCCACAAACCACCACAAAAACAAACAACGTTGGGGGGACAAAATAAAAGAAAACCCTTAATCTCCATACACATAGCCACGACCCACAGACGACCAGCGAACGTGTTCTGTTGAGACTCTTCCAAGCCTGACAGTAAAGAAGAATCCTTTGATCATTTCTGTCTGGTGGGTACCCACCGATCGGGTCATGTCTTCTGCTCTCTCGCATGCTCAGCCTCTCCTGCCCGACCACTGGTATTTCCTGCAGTACAATCATCCATCCAGTGGTTTTCCAAGGTAGACCAAAGTCACTTCTGTGTTTCCGTACACAGCCGATACTGCTGGGTATAAACAGGTCTTTGGAAGTCCTCTAAAAGCCACCCCTAAAAACTCATATCCACGCTCAAAAGCCAGGGTCTTGTCTTCCATATCCAAGATTACTCGGATCCGCTCACCTATCTGTGAAATAATGGCAATTAAATCAATCTGCAATTGAAAACATTACCAAAACAATTGCACCGGCCAGGGCAGTGGTAACAGCATTATCAAAATGTTATAAAATACAACAACCACCCACCAGGAGTGCAACACTATTAAAGTGAAGATCAAGCCAAAAAATTGTTTTTCCAGTGTTGGATGGAGTGGGGAAACTTTGGTCAGGTATTTACTGCATTAAAGAGATGTACCTTTAATTCCTGTCCTGTTGACATTGGTTTCACTAGGCAGGAAGGGAGGGAAAACCTGCATCAGCGACACAAGAACAAAATAAAAATCTGACAGGGTTTCTAGTCTTTCCCTGCTATAATATAGAAAAGCATTTCTAATTTCTGTCCATGTTGCTCTTGGAGGGTTGGCCTTAATTTGGTTTTGACAAAACAGTGTCAGCAGGACAGGAAGTGAGGATAAAAGTAAAACCCTGACAGGGTTCCAACCTTTCCTCACTTAATCCACAACTGGTAAAGTAGGGAAAATAGTCTTCAGGCCAAGTTCCCTTAAAAAGGAGACAATGTCTCTTTCTAGCATACATCCCTCACATAATTCCACAGGTATTGAAAGCCAAATTAGTAACAAATCAGGGCAGCACAGTGACTTAGTATTCGGGTGCATTAGTGCACTGCGGAAAGCTTTATCAACTTCTCCATTATGAAACAGATCATCATCAACTAGGCTCAATCCTCAACTCTGATCAAGGCTTCCAAGCAGTGCCACATATCCCTGGCACTGCATAGGGGCCCATTTTATAGCAATGCCAATAACTGCTACAGTGCCAAGTGGCCCTTCCCACCACACCTCCCAGGCATGGTGCCCTTCACTGAAGCCAATTCTGGTATGTGCTCCATCAGTACTCTGAGCAATTGGATTTCGATAGAGTGAAACCATGCTGTGCTTGTAGTGTTCAACCATCAGTCCCTGGCTCCAAACATCCCATGCTGCGCTTACCGCAGTCACATGGAGTTCCTGACTTCAGACATCCCACAATGTGCTTGCTGTCACCCTGAGTACCTAACTTCATACATCCTATGCTATGCTTGCTGTGGTCATCCGAGTCCTTGGATTCATACATTCCATGCTTACAGTGGCCACCCCGAATCCCTGGCTCCATACATCCCATGCTGTACTTACTGCAGTCACATGGAGTTCCTGACTTCATACACTGTGAATGTGCTTGCTGTCACCCCAAGTCCCTAGCTCCATACATCCCATGCTGTGCTTGCTGTCACCCTGAATCCCTGACTTCATTCATCCCATGCTATGCTTGCAGTGGTAACCCCTAGTCCTGGCTTCATTCAACCCATGTTGTGCTTACGGTGTTCACCCAGGGTAATGAATGTCAGAGAGTGGGCCTTGTATGTAGGTAGGTTGCAGAGCACATCTGTTCACAGCGCCTCCTTACTGACCATCCTCCGACTCCTTCACACCTCGCTGCTCTCATCTCATCTTTTTATCATATATCCCTCACATAAATTTTACAAGAGTTGAAAGCCAAATTAGTGCCAAATCAGGGCAGAACAGTGGCTTAGTGGCCTTTGAGCACTGGGGTTCCCGGTTCGAATCCTGGCCAGGAAACTATCTGCAAAGAGTTTGAATGCTTGTGTGGGTTTCCTCCGGGTACTCTGCTTTTTTTTCCCCCCACACTCCAAAGACATGCTGGAAAGTTAATTGGCTCCAGTCTAAGTTGGCTCTGTATGTATGCATGACAGATAGGGGCCTTAGATTGTAAGCTTCTTGAGGGCAGGGACTGATGTGAATGTGCAGTATGTAATATAAGGTCCATATACCTTGCAGCACTCCTTACCTGTCTGTCCTAATAATGGGTGCTTGCAATGACCACGGATGGCGGACCATTATCATTATTGAGCCCGATGAAGGGGACCCTGTGCGGCCCCGAAAGCGCTTGTCTTTATGACTTGTGTCAATAAAATGGATTTGCACTGACGTGAATCTCTGGAATGGAGTGCTGGTGACATCTGTATCTGTTATTGTGCAGTGTGTAAAGAGCAGTGTAAATTGTCGGTGCCATATAAATACCTTAAATAAAATAAATTGTCTATTTCATCTAGGGCTGCAACAACTAATCGACATAATCGATTATAATCGATTATTGAAAAAGTTGTCAACTTTTTCAATAATCGATTAATCGGCTTCCTATCAGTTGGCCCTGTTCACGGCTCCACACACGCTGCGTGCCGCAGTATTTTATTGTTTATCCGATTAACCGATTAATCGAACTTAATAATCGGCCAACTAATCGATTTTGAAAATAATGGTTAGCTGCAGCTCTAATTTCATCTCTCTGACTCCATGGCATATTATGAAGACATGTGGCCTTTATAGTCCTGCCCGAAATCTGCTTTTACTAGAATAATCTATGAGCCCATAGATCAGTCTTGGAACACTGGTTAAAACAGGATTAAAATGCGGAGAAACAAAGGTTTAAAAAAACTAAAAAAACTAAGTGATCTAAACTAGCGAGTTCTTAAATTCACAGACTAGAAGCGTTTTCCACTCACCTGGTATTTGGGTGCATTATTGCACTGTGGAAAGCTTCCATTGACTTCTCCATTATGCAACAGATTATTATCAACTAGATTCCATCCCCAGCTCTGATCATCGCTTCCAAGGAGTGCCACATATCCCTGGCACTGCATAGGAGCACGTTTTGTAGCAATGCCAATAACTGCTACAGTGCCAAGTGGCCCTTCCCACCACACCTCCCAGGCATGGCGCCCTTCACTGAAGCCAATTTTGGTGCGTGCGCCATCAGTACTCTGAGCGATTGGATTTCGATGAAGAGTGAAACCATTTTTTTTAATGTACACATTTCTCGAGCAGTCATTGGAGCTGAACCCATGCTGGTAGGCTCGGACCTGCATATAAAACAGAAAAACAGTTGTATGCCAGTCCTGGTTATATAGAGTTACCATTACCACACATACAAAACAGATTAAGAATCCCCTGTACAAAGATAAAGGCACGGTTAGTATTGGGTGAAGCCTAATGAGTAGAGTTAACCAGTCTTGGATAACCCAATGCTTCACCTAAAGGTCTCTCTGCCATAATTCCTGACTCTGTCCCTGTGAGTTCCTGATGATCTTTGTGTGTTCCGGCATCTCCGATTGCAGGATTTCTGCTCTATAGGACACAACCTTCATAGGTTACCATGAAGTAAAAATCTAAACTAAGGCTGCAACTAACAATTATTTTCATAATGGATTAGTTGGCTGATTTTTTTGTTTTTTCTTTAAATCGAAAACATAATCTTTTATTTAACCAGTTGACATCCGCGGTGTTAAACCCCCTTCCCATCCAGGCCATTTTTCAGTATTCAGCACTGCGGTACTTTGACTGACATTTATTCCGTCATGCAGCGTTGTACTGAAATGAATTTTATACCCTTTTTTGGGGACAGATAGAGCTTTCTTTTGGTGGTATTTATTCACCACTGGGGGGTTTTTATTTTTTTACTATATTAAGGAAAAATCACCGAAATTAAAAAAAAAAAAAAAACAGTTTCCCCTATATTAAATGATAAAACATTTATTATTACCCAATTTTTTGGTAAAATATAAAAGACGGGGTCACGTCGGGTAAAAAGACACCAAACATGTCAAGCCTTAAAATTGCGTGCGCGCGCGAAACCTCAAAAAACGATAATACCCAAAATTGGCCATAGGCGACGCTTTAAAAGCTGTTACCGCTCATCAGTTTAGTGTTATCAGTGATTGATGGCCCTAAAATGATTGCTCTCACTGCGACGTTCGCGGCGATATGTAACATGTGTAGCGCAATTGTAATTTTTGCGCGCTGGGGCACCGGACGCGTATTTACGTTTATAGGCGCGTAAACGTGGGGGTGGGGGAGTTAAACATTTTGGGGGGTTTTTTCCCCTTTTTTTATATCTGACTTTTATTTTATTTTACTTTTTTATATGTGACTTTTATTTATTTTTATTTATATTAATTTTTTTGCACTTATTGTTATTGCTATTATATAGGGGGATAACAATCCCCCTATATAATAGCAAAGGCACACTGACAGGTCCTCTTTATGGAGACATTAGGGGTCTCTAGGACCCCTAAAGTCACCTGTGGACCCCAAAAGAAGCTGATGAAGCAGAGATCTGCTTCATCAGCTTCTTCTCTCTGGCTATAGCAGCCAGATGACTGACAGGTGAATGCGGAAGTGATGTAATACACATCACTTCTGCATTCACAGCACGGACGGAGATCAGCAAGGAGCTGATCTCCCGTCCTCCTGACGCCCTCCGAGCCGATCCCGGGCCGCAGATGGGGCAGCGGATCCCGGGATTCAAGGTGAGGGGTCAACGGGGGACAAAAAAAAAACCCGGCTGTCGGACGCAAACGAGCACATATAGGCGATCGGCGGGCTATGGAGCCGCTGATCGCCTATATGTGAAACACCCGGTACCGGGTGTTCGCATTGGTCGGGTCCTTTCTGCCCGTGCGTGCCCGCTAGGGGGCGCGCGCGAGCAGAAAAAAAATGCCGTCTAGCGACGGCAACCCGCCAATGCAGCAGTGCCGGCCGTCCGTTTTTCTACTACGGGCGGACGGCAAGAGGTTAAAATAAAATACACAAAAATGCAGTGTTACAAAGTTTACTTTAGAATAAAACTGCATGCACATTTTTTTGCAATTGCACATCAGTGCAGTACTGTGCGTTCCAGTACGGGAGCGATCACACTGTGGGCCAGAGGCGCGTTTGGGGTGCAACACACATCCTGCAGCAGAATTTGTCAGGCCGAAACCAGAATTTACTTTTCCCACTTTTTTTTTCTATAATTGTATGCATTATATTAGACATTTAAATTAGTTTAATGGATTTAAAATAATATGAATTGCAAAACTCCAATATGATAAAATAACCAAACTTTTATTTTAAATAAATAAAAGCCCAGTCATCAGTTTAGAGTTAGCTATGCATATTGTCCGCAAAATTATTGCTCTCACTCGCGCTTGTGGCAATACCTGACATGTGCAGCGCAATCATCGTTTTCATAAATAGATGCACCCGATTTGTGTTGCCATTAGTATGCGCACGTTTTGGGGTCGGGGGACTTTTTGGGGGGGATTTTTAATTTCATTAAACTTTATTTTAAACTTTTTTTTTTTTTACTTTATTGCTGTCACATGTGGGGGGGGGAGGGGGGGGGCTCACAAACCCCTATGTGATAGCACATAGGGGTTTGTTCTCTTTAAAGTGACATTAGGGGGTCCATTAGACCTAGTGTCACCTTTCCACTTCACTGAAGAATGACAGTTGTCTGTTGAGGCAGCTGAATGCAAATACTGCGTGCAGTGGCTGGGATCAATAGCCAGCTTCCTATCGGCCATTTTAAATTGCAATAGCAAGCTGGCTATTGCACCCACCTACTGGCTGCTATCAAATCCGCAAATGAGGGACCTGAAGTAGAAAGTTATCCTTCACGTCCTCCTCTGCTGATTGACGGCAGGCAGTGGGCGGATGCAATAGCCAACCTGCTATTGCAATTTAAAATAACCAATAGCAGGCTGGCTATTTCTCCCAGCTGCTGAATAAGAAACTTGACGCCGGCTTTATACTGCCAGCAGAAGAGGGGACACAGGGGCGGCAGAGGAGGATCTCGGGCACGGGGGAGGAAGAGGAGAAATGCAGTGGCACAGCAGTCTCTACTCCACCCTGGGTGACGGCTACAGTGCTCCGTGTCCCCTCTGATTAAAGTATCTAAAATAATTCTTGCAAATGGCGAACACTCATGCTTCCTAGCAAAATTGTGCTACCAATGCAGCCTAGTGGATTGACATGTCAAACCTGCAGCAAATTTGGTTGGCACAGCATTGTAGTGTCTTACCATGCATTGTGGTGTACTGCCACTCAGATGCATCGGGGGTCCTTCACAGTGAATAGCAATGCAGCATACCAAGTGCATACTAACTGCAGGCCACAGGTGTGTAAAAGGACCCTTCGCAGGGCTCATCCCCGGGATTTTCCCCCGGCTATCATGCCCTTGAAGGGTAACCATGCCCATCATGCCCCTTTCTCCTGAGCTACCCAATCCTTCTCTCTCCTGGCTGCACGGATAGATTACAGCTCCAAATACTTCTATACGGCTCATCTAACTTTGGTTCCTGACTGAGAAATTTATGGGGCTTGTCTACCTTTATCTCATGGCCCCCTGTGCTTTTCTTGTTCTGGTCCCGAGTCCGACTCCATACTGCTTGCTCTGGTGACCCCTTGCTCCATACATAACATGCTGTGGTCACCCCGAGTGCCTGACTCCATACAACCCATACTGCTTGCTCTAGTGACCCCTTGTTCTATACATCCCATGCTGTGCTTGCAGTGGTCACCCCGAGTCCCTGGCCCCATACATCCCATGCTGTGGTCACCCCGAGTCCCTGGCGCCATACATCCCATGTTGTGCTTGCTGTGGTCAGTCCGAGTCCCTGGCCCTAAACATCCCATGCTGTGTTTGCTGTAGTCTCCCCAAGTCACGGCATTGAACCAGGGGTCACCCGAGCCCCTGGCTCCATTGAATCAATGTTGTGCTTGTTCTGGTCACCCCGAGTCCCTGGCCCCATAAATCCCATGCTGTGCTTGCTGTGGTCACCCCGAGTCCCTGGCTTAAGTCAATCCATGTTGTGCTTGCTGTGGTCACCCCAAGTCACTAGCTCCATGCTGTGGTCACCCCAAATCACTGGCTCCATGCTGTGGTCATACCAAGTCGCTGGTTCCATGCTGTGGTCACCCCCCAAGTCGCTGGTTCCATGCTGTGGTCACCCCAAGTCGCTGGCCCCATACAGTGCTTGCAGTGGTCACCCCGAGTCCCTGGCTTAAGTCAATCCATGTTGTGCTTGCTGTGGTCACCCCAAGTCACTAGCTCCATGCTGTGGTCACCCCAAGTCACTGGCTCCATGCTGTGGTCACCCCCCAAGTCGCTGGTTCCATGCTGTGGTCACCCCCCAAGTCGCTGGTTCCATGCTGTGGTCACCCCCCAAGTTGCTGGTTTCATGCTGTGGTCACCACAAGTCGCTGGCCCCATACAGTGCTTGCAGTGGTCACCCCGAGTCCCTGGCTTCATACATCCCATGCTGTGGTCACCCCGAGTCCCTGGCGCCATACATCCCATGTTGTGCTTGCTGTGGTCAGTCAGAGTCCCTGGCCCTAAACATCCCATGCTGTTTGCTGTAGTCACCCTGAGTCCCTGGTTCCTTGCCGTGGTCACCCATTCAATCAATGTAGTGCTTGCTGCGGTCACCCCAAGTCACTGGCTCTATGCTGTGGTCACCCCGAGTCTATGGCCCCATAAATCCCATGCTGTGGTCACCCCGAGTCCCTGGCTTCAGTCAATCCATGTTGTGCTTGCTGTGTTCACCCCAAGTCGCTGGTTCCATGCAGTGGTCACCCCAAGTCGCTGGCCCCATACATGCTGTTCTTGCAGTGGTCACCCAGAGTCCCTGGCTTCAAACATCACATGCTGTGTTCACGCCGAGTCCCTGGCCCCATACAACCCATGTTGTGCTTGCAGTGATCACCCTGGCTCCAGGGTAATGAATGTCAGACAGCGGGCCTCACCTTGGCCTTGTATGTGGGTAGGTTGCAGAGCACATCGGTTCGCAGCGCCTCCTCGCTGACCAACCTCAGGCACAGACTCCTCCACACCTCGCTGTTCTCATCCCCGTGCAGAGTGCGGTACCAATGCTTGCACACTAGGCCGCAGCTGCGAAGGTCGGCTAGCTCCAGATAGGAGAAGAAAAGCTCCAGCACACGACTCGGCAACCTCCCCGAACCGGGCGGCGGAGGAGGGGGAGGAGGAGGCGTGGAGGGAGCGGCCGTAGCCATTCCCTCCCTTTCTCCCGGTACCGGCGACTCAAGCGCCTCCACACTGCCTCATCAACCAGCGACGAGCAACATCCTGCCGCATCACGTAATCAGTGGCCAATCACAGGCCTCGCTGACGAAAACAAGTATAAGCTGGGCCAATCGTATACGAGAGACCGCAGGGACTCCGACCGCTTCCTGCCTAGGCTCCTCCTCTGCTCTCTCGTCACCATGGTGCACGTAATCATCAACAAATCCGGCCTTCTTATGACAATTTAGGGACCAATCGCAAATATGAGAGCTTGTGCGCAAGCGCATAATCGTCCATGCAGCAGTAACCGTTCCCTATGGTTTCTAATACGCCAATCAGAAGCGTCTATTATTTCTGCGGTGTGTAGGCAACCAATCAGCGTGTTTTGTAGAGTGTGGCGGAAGTAGTGTACCTCGGAGTGTGGTGCTGGGAGTCAGGTGTGTGCGGCATGTGCTATGTGTGTCTGGGGTGGCGTAGATGTGTGTGGTGGAGCCAGGCAGCGCAGCCTTCATGTGTTATGTATGTGTTGAGGCTGCTCCGGTGTCGTGGTATTTGAGGCTTTATCTCTACCGAGAATCATGAGGCCCCTTTTTAGATTGCAACGTTTCCTGACCTACATGGCACGACAAACGGTTTGCCTAGAGATACACTTTACTATAGCCTGCTTCTGGAAACAGACTGCAGAGTGAAGTGAAACTCCAGGTTAGTAAAATGAAACGTAAATTGTATCTTAAGACTGAACTTTAAAAAAAAAAAATTCCTATGTCACCCATTGGGGAGACTTCCTGCCCTGTAGACACAACAGGAAGTGAGAGGAAATCTCTCCATAGTGAGATTAAAGCTAAACAATGGGATTTTTTAACTAAAAAAAAAAAAAGCCCCCCTGCATCGCAGTCTTGACCCCCCTCGCGCTCCCCACATTGCAAGTGTTAAATGCTGATTGAGTCTAGGGGTAGAGGAGGGGTGCAAACGTATCGTATTTCTCGCTCTGGCAGACTTCCAGCATTCTGTGTGACCGTTCCCCGAAGTTTCTTCTTTAACTGCTTGAAGACCAGGTGTTTAGACTCCCTTCCTGGCCTGGCCATTTTTCAGTATTCAGCGCGGCGGTACTTTGACTGAATGCTGCTCCCGAGCGGGCGGATGTAACAGGACGTGTATACACGCCCAGTTACATCCAAGAAGCTCCCGGCAGGACGTGTATACACAGCGGCTGGCCGGGAGGTAGTTAATGTAGTCCCTTACCCCCTTTTGTCTAAAAATCACAGTATACAGCTCTGCATGCCGATATGAAATCATCTTACATTCATTAGTTAAACAAACATTTTTAGATTTACTTCCAATTTCTTTTTTTCCACTTCCTGGCCCACTTTGGCACCAATAATGTAACGTGCCCAAGCATTGCATCCTGGGAAGGTCACAGCATTGCTTTGAAGTCTCATCTGTAATCTCCCGAGATCTCAGGGAAAAGCATTTTCCTCCCATGAGATGATGTGCATGGTCACATGTCCTGGTCACATGTGCCAGAGTTCCAGGAAGTAAAGGGAGATGGATTCACCTGCCTTTAGTAAAAATGGCCACTGTGGGAAGAATGGGGAGGAAAATAATGAGGTATGCAGACAATAAAGAAAAAGCCGGCAGTAATCTAGAAGTATGTCTTTGTAGATGGTCATTACTAAACATTTCTAAAGGTGGGTTTGTTTGTTTGTTATTTTGAAGATATGGGTAAAGGTCCACTTTAAGGTGCTCCAGCTAGTGGTCGCATTCTGATGTCATCATGTAAAATGCAGGACCAGTAGTTCCACATTGTACATGAGGACCGCCCACTGACTGGAGTGTCGGAGAGAAGAGGAGAGTCCCGGAGCCTGCCAAAGCTAGGAATAAAATGGGTATTACATCTCTATCCTTTTACCCATAGACCAAACAATCATGTAGCCCTTGCAGTGTGTGTGTGGTTGGGGGAGAGGGGCGGGGGGTATTGGGGTATTTCAACCAGACAAAAACTTTTGTTTTGGATAGAGCAGTGGAAGGTTTAGACCCCCCCCCTTTCTGGGTTTTTTTTATGTGACCCCGTTAGGAGATTTGTTCTCTATATTTCTCCTGTTGATTGCTGTGAAGGTGAGGGGAAAATCTAAAATTTTGAGCTGCCACCAGACAGAACTGGAATGGAGTAGAAATCCTCCAATGGGACGCTGGCTCCTCTGACAGCTAAAAGGGAACCTGCCTCACTTTTGTAGAGAGTTCTTCTTATTTAATATTCTGTTTACAGGAGGGAGGGAAGACCTCTCAAATGGGACCTAGATAACAAAAATATTCCCTACATTATCCAAAAAAACAAAAAGGTTTTGGCTTTATGTAACACATTATTGTCTGTGTTTTTGTTGTTGTTGTTTTATTCGATTAAAATGACTTTGGGGTTCCATTCATCAGCGCTTTAGAATGCGTTGAAACACACTTTTTTTTTAATTATTATTACATGCAACTATCTGGACAAACACCTTTTTGATTGGTGCTCTATTTTCTATTCTACCACCAAACTGAGGCTTGTGTACTTTGAAGACCTGGTCTAAGGACTGTTCACACAGCAAGAGTCCACACAACCAGGACTCTGTCAATATTGAGATCCAGCACTCCACAATACTACAGTATTTCAACTTAGACATTTGTCCTCATTGGAAGATTATCACTGTATTTGTTTTACCTGGATTTAAAGTGATACCAATCTCAGGCGTTAAATCTTAAAAATACATCCAAGAACCCTAATTATTACCAGAAATGTATCCTCAAATCATCTCTGAATTGGTGCTGACACTGTCCTTCCTTCTGGAGGGGGGCTACTTTTGTTCCCCATGGTCCCTGTGTGTGATGTAAAGTAGTCACCGCTCCAAGCTCACACTCGTGGTGGACTACAATCTCATGCTTGGTTTACTAATTTGTATTGAGATTGCAGTCCATCTCCTATGCATGTCACTGCCGGTAGACTTGAGTCAACAAAGATGTAGCTGTGCATCCCTTGGTTCCCTACAGACATGAATCCACCCCATTCAGATGGCAAATAGTTCTGAGCATGTGGCAAGTATATGGCCTGTGAGAAGATAACACATACAATGCTAGAGATTGTGGGAGCGTACATGACTCCTTTTTTGAGCTCCCCAGAAAGCAGCCATAACTCATACACTGACCACTCATTTTCAGGTACTTATTTCTATATTGAGGACTTAGGCAGACCTACGTGTACGTGGCCATTTATGCGTACATTGCATTCTTTGCTTTAAAGTATTTGTAAACCCAGTACTATAAAAGGCCATAGTAAGACAGCAGGTAGTAAGGCCTCATTCACACTGCTTAGAGTCGGCCCATACAATTCCGTGCAGCATGCACGGCTGTATCGGGCCGTTCCTGGGAAGGACAGGTGCAGGGTTGGATTGTACGCAGCAGCCTGTTCTTCCCTTTGGGAGGACGCGGCCGTATGCTCACCTGAACTGTGTCCATACTAGCAAAACAGAAAACATCCTGTCTGCGTACGAGTATGGACACCCGCACGGATGTGCAGCTCGGGTGAACGTATGGCCGCGTCCTCCCATAGGGAAGAACAGGCTGCTGCGTACAATCACACGCAGCACCTGTCCTTCCCGGGAACGGCCCGATACAGCCGTGCACGCAGCACAGATCTTTAAGGACCGACTCTAAGCAGTATGAAGGAGGCCTAAGGGTTAACTCTAATAGTGTGTAGTTTTTTGGGGGAAAAAATTGTCCTGTACTTCTTTTTTTTTTTAAACTCCAGCCATCCTTCTCCATTGTGAGGGGTGTGCAAGGACAGCAAATGGGAAGGCAGATGATATCACACACAGCAGGGAAGTAAATTCCCATCTGTGTGAGTTGTGTTCCAGTAGCTTGCTGTGTTGATAGCGAGGCTGCTGCTAGAATCTTTAGATCTTTGGACCGGAGCACGCGGCAGAGGTTTTAACCCTTTTGTTAACTTTTTTCTTTTTTTCCCCCCATGTTTTTTCTGATATCTACTTCTTGCAAGCAGTAGATATATGCAAAAAAAACCGTGAGGGTTTAATAATCCTTTAACCTTGTTTTCATTTCTTTCTTCCTAGGCCTTTATAAGTAGGACAATGACTGCAAAGTGGGACTCCGGTCACTCCGGTGCTATTTTAAGTCTGGCCATAAGCAAAGAAAGAATTGTTGCTTCTGGTGCTGAATGTGGGGAGCTTACTATATGGAGTGAGCAGGGACATCCGATAGGAAAACTGCACTTCCATGACAATGATGATGTTGCCGGGATTGTCTTCTCTCCAACTTCTCCAACAAAACTTTATGCTTCTCATGGGGAGACAGTGAGCTTGCTGGACACCAGGGTTTTTAGAGAGCCTGTGGAGAGCTTCACCATCAACAAAGAAGAGATCAACTGCATTTCTGTCAATGAATTAGACAGCCTGTTGGCGGCAGCTGATGACTCTGGCGCAGTGAAAGTTTTGGATCTGCAGGCTAAGAAAGTCTGTCGCACACTGCAGAGGCACACTAATATCTGCTCAGCAGTCGCTTTTAGGCCCAACCGACCTCAGAGTCTTGTGTCATGTGGACTTGACATGCAGGTGAGTTGCGGCTCTCTATCTGTATACATGAGTCACATTTGGGGCTTGTTCACACCATGATAATTGAGCAGTGTTTTCTATGTGCCCTGTTTACGCTATTCATGTGCGGTGGTGTGCAGAAAAATACAACCCAGCAGATGGTGTGAACAACCCCCTAACGCTGAACTCCAGGCAAGCAGTTAAATGCACAGTTAACATGCACATATAGGAATTGTCTTACCTGCTAAAAGGATTTGTAAGATTTGTTAAGAATACTGGGTCAAAAACATCCTCAGCTTTCTGATTGGACAATAAAGTAGAGTAGCAGCACCCTGAGAAGGTTATTGATTGTTTTTTCTGCCTGTTAGCAGGTTGCTGTCAGCACATGTGCTTGCATTGCAGCCTGGTAGGCTCCTAGTGCTGGACACTCCTATAATGCCCTGTACACCACTAGTGCTGCTGTACAGGGCATTACAGGAGGCAAACGATCTAGACAAAGGTCATATATTTGGATTCAAAATTACTTATAATAGCCTGGTGGTTGCAGGGGGGCTCATCTGGGTTCCCTCTTTAATAAACGAACGAACTGCTGCCGCAGAATGAGTTTCAAAGGATACAAACAGGAGCGCATTCACTTTACCAATTGGCTGTAGGATGTGTTCTAAGAGAAATGACTTACATGATGTTGATGAGGACTGGGTGTCATGCAGCCTAGGTGGAGGATTGGTTTCCTTTTAGTGCTGTGCCTTGAAAAGCTGTCTGTCACGGTTCCTGTGTCCATTCCTGTTGTGGTCCAGAAGGGATTGTTTGTCTGAGGAATGCTTTGAGTTTCAGTGGCGGGGGAGAGCGGGTCCGTTGGGGACAAAGGAGAAAAGAGAAGAAAGAGCCAAAAGTGCAGCAGAATGAGGAATCTGACAGCTCCAGGCCCGAATGTAAACAGATGGGCGGAGCCAGTGGGAATGGGCTCCGCCCATGTGTTTTAATGCCATGACAGAGCTGGTGAACAGCAGAGACTGAACTGCCGAACGTTCGCCTCAGAAGATTGTGCTGAGGCTGTTCGGCTGAACCAAAGAAAAGTGAAGGGAGCCGAAGCCAGCTGATGTATGGCTGACGTGAATAGCTCCCTTCACTTTGGGTCGGTTATGCCTTCGGCAGCTTATTGAATAGCCCCCTAAGTGTCTAATACAACTGCTGCTGTATCAGGATAAGTGGATCAAACACAGTTACACTTGTTAGGAAAAAAATTATAAACACTTTGAAGGGAACTTATGAAACTGGAGCAGACACAATCTGGAGCAGTTTTGCATGGCAACCAATCAGCTTCTCTCTTTCATTTTCAAATCTTAACTGAACAAACTGAAGAGAGAAGCTGATTGGTTGTCATTCACAGCTGCTCCAGTTTTGATAAATTGCCGGAATAGGGGGGTGTGGGGGGGCACGAAGGCACAACATACAATTGATTGGGCGGCTCTACAGACGCTGGACCGCTCGTATCGCTGGTTGTTACAAATTTTGATGCACGGGCGAGCACAAAGGACGTTTTAAATCTAGCACGTGCATCTAGAAGGTGCCCGTCCGGCTGTTTATGTACAGTTGGCGGGCAGCAAGTGGTTAAGTAGTCATTGATTTCACAACTAATCATAAATATACACAGTCTTGTGAATAAAACAAGCAAAAGAACAAGTGAAACTGTCCCAAAGGTTTATAGAAAGACTTGGGACTGAAATGTGCAGATTGTGTTTATCTAATAAGTTTCATGAACATACAATGGGCAAGGCACCTTAGACCCCCTCACAGCCACTCCTAACATTTCAAAGAAATAGAAGCAGGAAGAGATTTTAACCCCTGAAACCCTGACCCAAGTAAGTACAATTTAAACTGCAATTTTTTTTTAATTTTTTTTAGCTTATGCCATGTGAATGGGAACATGTAACAAATATAAAATAGGTGTTATCCCAATTTGGATGGATGGAAATGGAAATATACTTTAAGCTGAATCTCTGAATGCTCGAACTATAAGTGAAAGAAGTTTGCATTTGGCAGCGAGTAATCGTTTTTGTTTAAAGGCCAAAATTGCAACGGCAGTTGTTGAGAACTGTGCGTGTTTGTTAGAACACGTGTGGGTGACTTTGGTGTGTAAATGGGTTACCTGCTCATTTAATCTGCCTCACAGATGACCATTGTCTGCTGGTAGATTGTTTCAGAGCAGGAAAATCTCTGCACAGGGTGGGATATGACAGTCACATACACTACTGATTTTCACTGCTCATAGCTGCGTCTTTGTTGCTGTTAAATGTAAAGATTTGTGAGTGTGAGCAATAAGGTAAATGTGGATGTGCAGAGCACCAGGTGCCTTCACTCTGCCTAAATTCCAGTACAATAATAAACAGACTGTGCTTTCAATGCTACCTATAAATACTGAGCATTATAGTGAAGGCTAATTATCTTATTATTGGGTTGATGATCACTTGTTTGGGAACAGACTTCCCCGTATACACGACACACTCCTATTTTTGTGTTTTAGGTAATGCTTTGGAACATGCAGAAGGCAAGACCCCTGTGGATAACAAACCTGCAACATTTGGCCCAGGATGAAGAAGATATGGATAGCCACCAATCTCCAGGTCAGCTCTTCAATCCACCACTGGCGCATTCACTTTCCGTCTCTTCCTGTGGAAATGTCTTTGGTTGTGGGGCTGAAGATGGCAAAATCCGATTATTCCGGATATCGGGAACCCGGTTTGAGGAGGAGCTGTGTTTTAAAGCTCATACTCAAGGAGTCTCTCAAGTCAGTTTTGTTGGACACAATGATGGAGAAACCTTTTTACTATCAGGAGGTAATGATGGCAGAGTTTGTCTCTGGGACATCAGCAAGGACACCACACAACCTCAAAAACAGAAACCTAATTCTAGAAGATCCTCATCTAATGTTAAAGTCCGACAAATGGTGGAGGTTGCACCGAAAGTTCGCTCAAAACTTTGTTTTGAACATGGAGAAAAAGTGAACTGGATTCTGGGAGCTGAACTTCAGGGAACTAAAGCGGTTCTGGTGGCAGATCCGAGCAGTTCCATAACCGTGTATCCGTTAGGAGAGCTCTAGGGAAATGTAAAAGCCTAAGTTCTTTTATCCATGGAATGGATTTGTTATTTCCAAGTATGTCACTGATTTTCAGTTTTCCAGATAAGCTTGCAATACTTAGAAGCAGCTTACACGGTGTTGTGCAGTGCCTTAAAAAAACATGTTGCCACACCAATTTAATGTGATGTGGGATAAAGTTGTGATAATACAGCACTTGTTCCATCAAGCTGTAGCATGTAGACATGTAGCATAATAATGCTCCTTTTGGCAACATTGTATCTCATTTTTACATGAATGGGTTTATCTACTCCAGGAAATCCCAACCTCTTTTATTGCCTTGAGCTTTTTATGTTAATGAGGGCCGGAAACCTCAAATCCGTGTGTTGCTGACGATGGTTGAATGGGTTCTTACTGTTGCTGCTTAGTAATTTCTATATTTGTTGCCAGCTCAAAATTCTAATTTCTTCTACAAAATGGAAATATTTCTACAATGACAATGTCCCATCTAAACATTGATCAGACTGGGGAGAAAAATGTCAGGTCCAGCAAATATATGATTGCTATGAGAGCCATCTATCATGCGTGAGATCCTCCTTTATATGGACAGCTTGGATAATTCAGACTAGGCATTTGAAAAAGATGAACGAGTAAAGGTTTAATTTTAGTGAGAATCGCATACAAGTTGATATGTATACCCAGAGGTCCAGTCTACATACATTTTGTATGCAAATTGAAACTATCCGTGTAAAAGCTGTTGCACATCTGCCTCTATGTGTATCTTCTAATGTGATGAGTCACTTCATGGACCTGTAAGAAGGCTTAAAAAAGAAAGGGCCACGGCAATCTTTCTGCTTGTCTCTCAATCTACTGATAAATTTGACATGCAGTGTTTCGCTGATTTAACATTTTGAAATGTTTAGTTAAAATTGTCCCAATTTATGACAGGTTTTTGTAGAACTTGGGGAAAATGTGGTATACTTTCAGGTGTTTTCGCTTGCGTTTTGTGATCAACCCTTCTGAGCTGCTTTCAACATGGGGAGTAAATTAGGTCTAAACTGAACATACACAGATCAGCCATAACATTCTGATGACTCGCCTAATATTGAGTAGGTCCCCCTTTTTGCTGCCAAAACAGCCCTGACCCATTGAGGCATGGACTCTGCTAGAGGTATCTAGCACCAAGCCGTCAGTAACAGATCCTTTAAGTCCTGTAAGTTGCGAGGTGGGGCATCCATGGATCGGACTTGTTTTGTTTTTTTCTCCAGGAAAACCCACAAAATGGACCCCATTACCAGTTCACCGGTTTTCCTTCCTTGGACCACTTTTGGTAGGTCCTGACCACTGCAGACCTGGGACATCCAACAAGAGCTGCAGTTTTGGAGTTGCTCTGACCTGGTGGTCCAGCTATCACAATTTGGCCCTTGTCAAAGTCACTCAAATCCTTACGCTTGCCCAATTTTTCTGCTTCCAACACATTATCTTCAGGGACAAAATGTCCACTTGCTGCCTAACATATCCCATCCACTTCTAGATGCCATTGTAATGATAATCAATGTTATTGACTTCACCTGGCAGAGGTCATAATGTTATGGCTGACTGGTGTGTGTCACAAGTCCTAAAGCTGGTCATATATGTAAGGATACTGTTGCACATACCATTTGCACTGAAACAAATAACAGTACAGTCTCTGTACCAGCTTTGCTCTATACAGATCTGTTTATCATATGTGTATAGAAAACATTACCAGCTCTTCCAATTCCTTACTTCCAACTGTGGTCATTCCCTCGCAGTACTCCAGGCAAGTGTCAGTCTATGGTATGTATACTGTGCATGGCATCCTTTATACCTATTGGCACATATAAAGCAGGGAATTGTCAGTAAGTGAGTAACCCCCAAATACAGAGATGCTCTTTGTATTGGTTACATGTTCTATGAAAGTCTTCAGTTGCAGGGATTATTTTATCATACATGCAGATAAACTATAGACATATTATTGACATCAGAACTCATTTGTGCTGCATGATATTGCATAAAATGTTTATTATTGGGTACGTGTATTTCTTTGCTTTAATGCCATGGCAGATCTCAGCAGATACAATAAATCCATGTTCAGAGTGACTCCATGGTTTTCTCTTGTTTACAGTGTATTAAAGATGTCAGTAAACATTAGATTGTGACAGGTTTCCATCAAAAACATTTGTACATACTGTTCTGCACTAAAAAAAAAACATATACACATTTTCAAATATGACCTCTAATTATTCCATATTTATCATAACCAGCAGTTTGGAGCATTAATAGAACTGGGTAGGAATGTTCTACTAAATAGTAGAATCCCTCACTCAGCTTTGGTGGTTTAGGGATCTAGCACTGGAGTCCGGGCCCTGTCACACCATGTCCGGACCAGATCTGCACGTGTATCTGCAAACGCGGTGCGTTTGTGACGTGTTCCAGTGCAGGAAAAATGTGACATTCAGCATTTTTTTTTTCCTGCACTGGAACGGACTGGACCCGGGTGAACAGAGCCCAAAAATCACATACAAATACATTGGGATGCATTTTTGGTGCAGAAGAAAAATGTAACGTATCGCATCTGAACTGGACATAGTGTGAATGGGCCCTTAGGGTAACTTATTGTGTTCATCACAATGGATAACTGCTTGCCAGGCTGGGGTGTGGCAAATTTATGTTGGTATAGGAGTTTTGGTCATTGAGGAATCCATCTCTCGCTCAACATTTGTCACGGTACCAGGGGTGCCACCTCTTACAAGGGTCGCAAGATGCAGCGCAGGGCATGGGGTCTCCCTCTTCCTGGCAGAACTCCTGTCGCTAGGGTCGCGGTGTGCATGCGTGAAATAAATAGTAGAATCCCTCACTCAGCTTTGGTGGTTTAGGGATCTAGCACTGGAGTCAGGGCCCTGTCGCACCATGTCCGGACCAGATCTGCATGCGTATCTGCAAACGTGGTGCGTTTGTGACGCGTTCCAGTGCAGGAAAAATGTGACGTGCAGCATTTTTTGTGCAGCGCGCGTGGTGGACAGACTGCGTGGACGGAGGCACGCGCGTGTTGTGCGCCCGGGCCCATTAAGTACTATCAGGTGCTAGCCTTGATGAGGGAGGTTCCCAGCAAACACTGTCCGCCCATTCCCTCATGCTATTGGCTCCTGGATGAGGAAGCTTCCTGGTCGTTTTGGCAACCGGGGGTAGGTCCTAGGTTCCCCTGGGTATATATCCTAGTCAATCCCAGTCAGAGCCCTGGCTTGTTGCTGAGTTATTCTACCTCTATGATGTGATCGCCTAGCCTCTTGACCCTTCATCTGAGTTCCCGGTTATTGACCCTTTGGCCTGGCTTCCCGTTTTGCACCTAGCTGCCTGCCTCGGCACGGACTGGACATGATTACGCTTTTTGGATTCTACCTCGATCTCGGACCCTCTTGTCGTTCCTGCCAAGGGGTTCCACTCACGGCCCAGTTGTACTCCTCTGACAACATTGGTGGGGTTTTAAATGGCTGTTTTTTCTGCTTGACCCCCCCGCAGTTGAAAAAAAGAAACATTTGCTTTCTTACTTTACATTGACTGGCCATTGAAAGAAAACTATTACTGGGAAGAGAAGCATCCGTATTCTTAGAGAACTTCTGATTGGACTGTCCTCCTTAAATGTTATTCTCCTTTGGTAAAGACCATGAGACCAATGCCTCAGCAGTTTTGTGACCAGTGCTGGATGGATAAAAAAAATCTCCCATGATACAGAGTAAAGGTTCTGTTACTATACCTCAGGGTAATTATTTCAATAAACATTTTCATTTTACAGGCAGATTTGCTCAAATTGCTTTGTGCATTGAGGGGCATTTGTAAGGAAAGGGTGCCATTCAAAATTAATGAGAGCCCAACCCACCACTGGCAATGTGCTGCTGTGTGTTGGTGTCAACCAGCAGGAAAACTTGCATTGGACCACATGTTATCACAATGCACATGTGAAGCCAGCTTAAAGGAGAACTATGGGGTTAAGGCTTTTCCCCATAGTTCTCCTTAGGGTAACGGGAGGACACAAACTAGCGTCCTCCCGTCACCCTAGGCTCAGTATAGCGCGAGCTGCAGCTCGCGGTATACTGAGATGCTGCAGCTGAAGCGGATCCCGACAATTGTGCTGGGATCTGCCCAGCTGCGTGAGTGACAGCTGGCTCTGCCTATCTAGAGGCAGAGCCAGCTGTACCCCCCCCCTCCCCCGTCCGATCCGCCAGCCAGCGCTGGTGGATCGGAGCGGGGAGGGGGGAAACCAGCCCCTCCCCTGTCACGGCAGAGAGCCATGACAGGATCGAGAGGTGAGTGAACGCCGGTATGTGTTCACTCACCTCCCGATCTACTGAGCCGACCTGTGACAGTCTCATTGTCATACGTCGGCTAGAACTATGAGGTGAGTGAAAAGCACTCACCTCATAGTTCTCCTTTAAGTGATTAATGAATACCTTTGCTAAGCACTATTTACATCTAAACTGAACGTATAACATAACCCCAGTGCAATGTCAAAGAAGAAAAACAACAGCACTGTTACAAGGTTTCTACAGGTAACTAATATTACTCCATTTCGATGGCATAATAGTACTGCGCTGCTTATCTTAACAAGAAGTAAAACCAGCATATTACCTTATTCTGACACAACTTCCTGGTTTGTCCATTATTCGTGTTCATTTACAACTAGAAAGGCTGTATGTGTGGCGTGTTACATTTATAATGTCCAATACAAAGGAAAGCATGTAGGACAGTGTAGGCCCCTTTATAATGTTGTCCTGTTCCTAGGGCCAGGCAACCACCCTGCCAGTTCTCGAGTTGGAGGCTGTGGGTATTTAGGTTTAGGAGGGTGGTGTCAAGTGGTTAGTTGAGATCAGGAGGAGACTTGAGGACTAACACCATTCTCTAGGAGAGAGTGCTGCTGCATCACTATGTGAGTGGGGACTTTTGGCCATAGCAGTTTAGGCACTTGATGGAATGTGAAATTGATTGGGTTCTACCAGATTGGTGAGCTATCTTGTGGAATTTTGGGAGATCCAACAATAACTGATAGCTTGAGCTCCCCCCAGTGACCAGGGCAGAAAAAGAGCCCAGTGTTCAGGAACAGGATCACAGACAGACCTGAACTGAAATGTATTGTTGAGCCTCAACCTTTTTTCAGTCGCAGCACCCCTGTCTAAAATGTATACAATGGTTGTGTGGACGTTAAGGGGGCCCCTGTGCAAAAAAAAAAGATGACGTAGAGTTGTCCCCTTCCCATCAGAGTTCTCCCCTTCACATCA